TTCATACTAAATACATCAGGAAGAGAAAAATGACAATGCATCTCAAAAAGATACACCAATTAAAAACCAATATAATCAAACTCGAGATACAAACGCACAAAACATTGAACCAATGGATTGGACGCCAACAAAATCAGATGGATCCCTTCCTTCTCCTGTGCGATCGCGATCGCGATCGGGTTCTGAATCACCTTCTCCTAATAAGTCGGTTGCTGTCAATTTAATTCCGCTTACCGATTCGATTACATTCACTCCTAAATACTTGCTGTTTACTCCTGATCAGGAGATGAAGGTGGGTAGAGTGAGTGGAAGTCGTAATCAGAAAGAAGCAAGAGCGGATAACGGTGTGTTCATTTGTGATGTTATGTCTAGAGAACATGCGATTCTTAAAGAAGAGAACGGAAAGGTAAAAAAAATAAATAAATAAAAAACCTTTGTTTTTTGGGATTCTATTCATACTGATTATTCGACTTTTAATCATTTATAGATTTTAATCAAAGATACTAGAAGTACTCATGGTACTTTTGTAAACAACATTAGGCTGGGAGATGGTTCAAAGGATAGTGAATGGCGAGTGCTACACCATGGTGATATTATCACCTTTGGACATAGCGTGAGACGTAATCAAAGTAATCAATAATTCCATTTTTAATTTCGTCTTTTTACTACATTTTTATTAAATTTATTTAATCTAACATGTATACTATAGATTTGTACAAGCATTTATCTGCTTGCGTTTTTTATCCTAAGGGAAAAAAAGATGTACCTCATATACCAATCTCCCTCAATGGTAACTCAGTAATTGGACATGCTATAGATTCGGCGAAAAACCAACCTGATAGACTTGAGGGACAGACTTCTTCCGGTGCCATGACGAACATAGCACGAGTCCAAAATCCATCTATAGAATCTTCTCAAAAAGCTACGTCATTAAAGTACGTTTCATAACTTTATTTATTACGGTTTAATTAATTAATTAATTAACTTTGTACGTGTATATATATATTTTCTAGTAAAGAAGGAAAGACAGCAGAGATTGAATCAAATAATATAGTCCAAAAAGCGGACGATGATCAAGTAACATCTGTCAATGATGCTTCAACTTCTGATAATGGCAAAAAAGGTTCTACCGAATCCAAATCGCATGAATTAGAACATGCTGAATCGTCTGAAGGAGGTAAATATTAATTATCTTCAATTTGATGGTTTCATCATTATTATACCTTTTAATCTTTTTGTGTTTTAAGTTAATCGTGTAGATGAACCTGTGACTCCCACCTCAGCAAATGTTGCACAGACTAACTCTGTATCGGTGAAACCAACGAAACATATATCAGCTGTTAAACTAGAGAAACGAGAAATTACAACTATCGTCAATAAAACTGAAGTCCACCCCGTAAAAGAAGAGATTCCTTTCTCTGATGACTTCAATAAAGCTAATGATCATAAACCGGTGACCCCAGCGATCACTCCAGATTCTAGTCCAATCGAAGCACCTGCTGACGATCCAACTAATAATTCACATAGAGTACCTGCGACCGCTGTCCAAATTCGTGAGAAAGTTTCCTCGCAGGCTTTAGTAGAAACAAATTCTAAAGTATCGTGTACGGGTAGTAACGAGAACGTGTATTATGTAAGTAACGGGGAAGGTCCATCTCATGCCAATGGAACCGCAATTACTACCTCTGTTACGTATCGTAAACGCAAATTTGACGAAGTAGATGATGGGAATAATTTAGAGCAAGAGCAAGTGGACATACTCAATAAACGATTAGAAGAAGTAGAAAAGCGGGCCAGTAAACGTAGGAGGTGGGAACTTATTACCTCTACGGTAATTGGTATGGTGGCCGGAGTTGTCAGCCTTGGGGTCGGTGCCTACATGCTAGGAAATTGACCATGTATAATTTTGCATAACATTCTATCGTAATGGTACTATTGTCTATACAGTTCGTTCGTTTTGTTTATATTACCGGAATGTCACTTAAATTCTGCATTTTTTTTGCGTTTTAAGGGCATTATTGGCCCATTTTCCAACCACACTCATATTTTCGCTATCTGATTTATCTTGAATGTTAATCCTTCTTCTTTTTCCTTTGATACATAACCCGTTCATCATTTAAGCTAAATACAAAAGAGAACATTTATCTATGTTTTCTCTGTTCTAACTGAAATATATGTATATATTCCAACCATAATATCGGGTAAATAAATTCATTAAATTTTTGTGCACTTCAAAATATGTATAAATATATGTGTATATGTATTGAAATTATTAATTCGGCTGGTCTGATTTACATGAATAGAGTTATTGGTATGGATTTACCGAATGTCTAACAAACATGAGACTATGAATTAAGAATTCAAAATTTGATGAATGTTGACTAATTCTAGCGCCATTTTGATATTTTAAGTTCAATTTCTTGGTTAACATCAACATCTTTTTAAATCAATCGCTATATATTTACTATATAATTTATAATTGCCAGATTCGAAAAATATGTATATAAATATTATTATGAATATAAAAGAACTATGTTACGGCATATTACGTATAAACATTATAATTATTGATTTCAAAAAATTGATAAAAGCAAAATTTCTTTTCAAAATTAATACAAATCAATATATAGTACTGTATATGTCTAATATACAAATATACTGTAATAAATAAATAAATTAATTAATTATATTGTATATTATTTTGTTTATTTTTATTTTATTTTAAAGAACAAGGTCTAGCTTTGGTTTTATAATATATTATATACGTAGTATATATATTTATTTTTATAATTCGTCTTGGTCTTCTTTCAAATTCTTAACTTGCTAAGAACTTAACTTCTTTGGTTAATGGCTGGTAGTTACAAATCTATTGGCTATTATGCTAATTATCTAAACCTAGTCTAATAAGATAATATAAGCTATGAGTAAAAAAAACCCTCAAATAAAGTCTATACACAGGATTTAAAAATTATATATACATGACTAGAATTATTATATTACAAATGGATTATAATCTTCTTAATACAGTACAAATAATATAGCACATAGTTATAGTAATCTGTTGTGATAATGTAGTAGTATAAAAGCAAAATATAATACTAAGAGCAGTTTATAAAAAGTATATAGTTTAAAAAAAGATATATGGAATCTTTGTTAGAAAAATTATCCTTCAACATTTTTTAATTAGGCAAATTTAGAAAATTAAATCAATATTGTAGATATTTACTTATATATAAATTATTTTTGCCTTTATTAATTTAAATATTTATTTGATAAGCTATTGAATTAATAAAGATAAAAAATAATTTATACAGTTAGACCTCACTAAATGCAATGCAACAAGACTATACATGCTGACAAAATTATTTTAGGTTTTGGGGTACGAAATTAAAATTTGAAGATGAAATTGTTTTTGATCTATTTTACTTAAAAGACGAAATTTTTTAATACTTTTTTTGAAGAGACAAAATTATAAAGAACATAATTACCTAAATTAGATTTGCTATTGTATATAAAAAATTTCAAATTGCTCTAATAGAGACGAAATAGAGGTTTTTTGAAAACCTATTTTGGTGGCATATATAAATAGGACCATATACAAAAATTTAGTCAAATATGCACTTAGAGAGGTATTGCATTTAGAGAGATAAAATTTATAGATGTAATATTAGTTGGGCCAAAGAGAAGATATGCATTTAGAGAGGTGCTTCATAGAATATACACTTAGAGAGATAGCATTTAGGAGGGTCTGACTATATATAAATAAGAACTGGTATGTTAGTATAAACTGTTTAAATTAGTTTGATTAAAAAATATTAAAGAATAATTTTTTTAGTAAAAATCTTATATTTTATTTATATAATAAAATTTTAATTACACAATTATCCTATAGGTTTTTATTCTTAAAGAATTTTATAACTAAAAAGATATCTAAATCTAATTTGGTCTATCTAAATTTGTTTGATAGCAGAAAAAATATTAAAGTTTATATTTTTTTTAATTATTAAATAATAAAAATAATAATAAATAGTATAAATAGTAAAAATAATAAGAACAATAAAAGTGATAAGCATAAGAATTACAAAAAAATTTTCATAAAAAATATTATAAATTAGAAGGAAGTTATTTTACTATTAATATAGAGAATTTTTTATAATTACTTATTGGTGATAATTTAAAAAAGAAAGAAAGCAAATTATTATATAGTAATAAAATAGTCAGAAGATATTACAAAAATAAAACTTAATAGCAAAGCTTAAAAAAGAAGTAATTGTATACAAAGATAATATAATATATTGTAATATAGATATTTTTATTTTTATTTTTATTTCTTTTTTTTAATCTTTGACAACCTTGTCAGTGATCCTTTATTATGATTATTATATAAATAAATTACATAATGTTGAGCTCAATATCTAGGCCCGACATCCCCGGCTACCTCGTGGATGCCCAGAAGCAGTCTGCCGTACTGATTTAAAATTTGTTTCATAATCAGAAGGCTAATACCAGGTTAGCCGCACAAACTATACCAAAAGAGTTTGCAACTATTTTGTATTAATTTTCTAAAACTATTACACCATCTATTTTCTATTCGTTTTATACCCTCCTCTTTTTTTTTTTTTAATCTAATATTCCTTTCTAGTTCCTCCACATTAGTTACAGTCTTTAAACCCTTTTTCTGTGTCTTTGTTTCAGCTATACTTGGACCTGACTTCTTTCTTTCTTTCGTTGATCTGCTATTATGTTTTTCTTTAGTTGTAATACCTTTACTAATTTTCCATCTTCGTATTATCTCACATCTTTTTGTCCATATATTTTCGTAAAAGCAGTTCCAAACTGTATTTATAGCAAGTTCGATGTAGGTCTTGGCGTCTTTTCCTGATTGTAGATTTTCTTGTATCTTTTCTGCCTTGTCTTCTTGAATTAGACCTTTGATTGCTTTGGTTCTTGTTTTTAAAGATTTTTCCTTTAACTCTCCCCAAAAAGTTCCTTCGAGTAAATCTTTATTTGTTCTCATTTGGGTTTCCTCTGGAAGGGCTGCCCATACTATATTTGCTACTAGTTTTTTCGCAATCTTCCAGCTATTCTTTTGTTCTCTGCAGCTTGCTAGATGATCTTGATCTTCTTTGACTTTTTCATTGCATATTATGCAGTTAGGATCTTGGTATAGGTCTGGGCGCCTTTGTGCTAATGTTTGGAGTACTGGTAACTTTTCGTTAGCACATTTAATTAGAGCTCCAAGGCATTTATTTTTCTTTAATATTGTACATCTAACTCCGCTATTTCTCTTAATTCGCTTCCAAAAATAGGTCCATTCGTTAGCTTTGAGATCTTCTTCTGGTTCTATTTTCTGAATCGCTTTCGACTC